ATATTGTTCATTTCCAATTCCAGGGTACGATTTCCGTTGTTTTTTAATATATTTTAGAAAATCTGGAACACGAATAAAAAAATTAAAAAAAACTTTTTTGTCAAGCCCAATTACAAAAATAATACATAAAAATACAACTAATATAATAGATAAGAAAAACATGATGATGACAATAACGACAACGACGACCGTGATGATGATGTGTTTGTTTAGCAACACACGAGGCTGGTCTGATATTGATGATCACTTTAGATGTATACGATAATGAGAAAGATATTGATGATGATGATGATGATGATAATGATAATGATTTTAATGGTGTGGTGATGTGATCATGTGATTAATCTACGTTAAGGCTGTGTACCCTATCATAAGCCGTGTTGTTTTTCTTGGTCTGCGTCACTTTGTATATAGTACTGTCATAAATTTTACAAGTGAAATAAAGTTGAAGGTGATGATGATGATGTTGACGATAATGATGATGATGATAATGATGATGATTATAATGTTCATAACGATGATAATGATGTGATAATTAAGCCTATGACACGTGATACTGAAACAAACATCGCGTACTTCGGTACTTCTAAATAGATCACATGATATTTTATGATTTTGAATTTCTACGTATTGGCATGCCACCTTTATACACAATGTGTACATGAAGTGATCGGGTCGTGCGCGGCAACGTTGAAAGGAACGCCGTATTTACTGAACAAACTTGGATTAATGTTATTTGTGTCTTGACATCATTAGCAATGAATTACGCACACGCATATTAGATCACGTGACGGTATTATCTCAGGCGATTACCCCGATGCTTCTGATTACAAATAACGTCGTATTGTGAGTAATTAAGACTCATCTAGACAAGATTCGATACATGTAATGGGTAATATTAAGAACCATCTTGTCTATCATCTGCATTTTAATTAACCCTTTATTAACCAATTAAGATAATATCTTGGTGATAAATATATAAATTTACAGGCCGCCGCTCCAAGGCGATATCAATCCGTAGCCAGGACTAACGCGTCGAATTATCTTACAGCCGCCAGTGTTACAATATTGATTTCTAGTATACATCACGATTTATGATTGTGTGCAATTATATTATATTTTATAAATAATTTGATGAACTCGGTTGTTGTTAAAAATTGCAAAATACCGGTACACTAGGCCTATGTACATGACCTCAATATTATAAAGTAGGCCCGTAAATTAACATAATTGTCGTTTCTATTCAAAAATGTTTTCCGTTATGATACATTTTATTATATGAGTATTAAGCGTAATTCACATTTTAATGAAGTTTCAACGATGCGTTGCGGCGTTTGACACGCAATGTAAATTCCAACGCACACATGATTTTCAGTTTTTAGAATGTAACTCAGGCCTACACTAGGCCCCGCCTTGTATATTGGTGTTAATGTGTAGGTCCTTAAACAGTGTACACGTACGTAAACTAGCGTATTTTGTGGGACATACGCGTATCCATAGAAGATAAATAATACGTTCTGATTAATCAATTATTAAGTTGTGATTGACAATCTGGAATGGTCAATTAGACGCGTAACAATTGGTATGCAAAAAGTTGCCTGAGCGGCTTGACGTATTACGGTACCGTACGTACGCAAGCAAAGAGCCTCAAATATTTTGCAAGTAGGAGTGAGTAGCCGCACATGTGCGTTTGCGTCTGTAGCTTGTTTAGTGTGAATCAACGATTCGATATGGGTATGCTACATAATATTTCCTGCATATTAAGTTTTATTTATTGACATTGACAATATGCAATTTAGTGAATGACAGGATAGATATCATTACGATGAGATCGTTTTAGACTGCTGCTGAGCTGTCCAAACTGAAGACCTAAGCAATAAAAACCCACAAAACACCAGCATCTCCATGAACGCGTAGCTCGAATCAAGATGAGTATTTAACACCGGCTTATACAATAAATAAACATTTATTTCTTGTTGTGTCAAAATTGTCGAATAATTTTTAATTATGTGCAGTTGTTCAGGTCTCGGAAATTTCGTTTTCCTTCCGCAACTTAAATTCCCGACTAATGTTATGAAATATAATGATAGTCCAAAGTAAATGTCCTTGAATGCGAATCTTACACGCGGAGTCTTACAAATATAATAAAAATTTATTTCCTATTTGTTGAATAATTTTTTAATTACGCGCATTTGTTAAGGTCTCGGAATATTTTGTTTTCTTTCTACAACCTAAATTCCCGACTATATGTTATGAAATATTATAAAGATAGCGCAATATAAACGTAAATGTTCTCAAATGCGCAACGGTTTTAATAAAATTTAAAGTATGAAAAGCAGCTCAAATAATCAGTCATTGACAGACACATCATTAATCACAGGTTTAGATTAAATCAGTTTGGCATTATTAACATTAAAATGTTCTAACTGTTAAATACATGCTATAAATTTTTGAGTAATGAGTATTGAAACAGTGAAGCGATTGGAATCCTCAAGGAATTATTGCCGCGAAAGAATGTTGTAGCCCTACATAATATACTCGATTCAAAATCATACGCTATGTGCGCTTGTTTACTGTTTTTACATCATCATCGCTTGCAATAGATAATCTATAATCTTCTAATAATCTGATGAGAAGAGTTTGCCAGAAGATACCTACTACGGAGGCTGGCGATAATATTATAGAATTCGAGATATAATGGTCCAGGAAGCGGCAACCGCGAGTGCTATTCACCCGACCCTCAAGTAAAGGCGATTACAGTACTCAAGGCACGTTCTCTCTCGCACTCGAACTACAAATCTTCTGTGATTGCTACTTTAATGACAATGCATGAAAGACGATATTTATTGAATTGTAATTGCGTAGACACTTTTTACTCAAAGGGTTCTTTCTTTACTGTACTCAATCATTGAATATTGACTTGTAAACCTAATGAGTTTGTTGTTGTCGAGTGTCCTGATATCAACCTCAATGTTATACATTATAGCATACACGCTAATATATATATATATTAATACATGTTGTTTATATATATGAGTATACATATAGGTATGTATTTCATTTTATTATATATTTATATTATACAGGCCTACACAATATAATAATATATAGCCGTATACAATACAGTTACACCGTAAAGCGTACGATTACGGTATATATTTTAACTGTAAACAACAATGCTATGGGAAACTGTGGTTGGATCATTGTTGAGATGCAAAAAAGTAGTTTGATATTAGCTGGTTGTACAATAAATCAGTATGTGTAAACATTTGTAAAATGTATTTTTAAGATATATTCATCATCATTATTGACGTATCTATAGGCCTATATATAAGTTGTTGGTACAGTATTTTTTAATTTTACATTTATATATTTTCGAATAGGCATACAGTAAGTTTCAAAAGCATTTCTGATGACTCTGCTCTAAAGTTCATTATAGGTCAATCATGAAATCCTTATTTTACCTTTAGCATTATTTTCCTATTTGAAACCATATACTAATTTTTCATTATTGCACAGTTATTTTACCATCAGCATTTTTTTATATTTCAAACCATACACTAATTTTCTGTTAGTGCACCGTTTGTTAACAGGTTTTTTTTTTTGTACTGCTCGTGTGCAAAACTGAATGTGTCTGTGTCACATTTATCAACTCAGTTCATGTTAAGTTGATTGAATAAAGTACATAACATCCTGTTAGAATGTCATGCACCCTCAAGTTGTCTCTATTAAACTATCAATGTGTATACTGGATACATTCCTCGGAATCAACACTACACGATACCCGTTACTTTCATTATAACCGGACACTTGAGTACTCGAGATTTCTTTAGTACCTATTCATACTCACCTTTTTTCGCTGCAGTGTTTGAAGTAGTAATTACCGACTTGATTACTAACTAATTGTGTGCTACGGTATTTGTTGAAAGTGGAAGCCATTAGTACTCGTCCGTTTTGATATTTTATTATGAGGCTGATACCGGTCGATATTTGTGTGTAATTTGAAATTCTGCATTGAACAGTAAGAACCGGAATCCAATTCGTGAGTGAATGTAGCAAGGCCTATTTCTTTTCAACATACTTCTTAAATTTACCAATGTAATGAGTTTGCGTTAGAAGAGGAACATTTTAGATTAAGTCTACCATAATTATTTCGTTCAGTGTCCTTAATTAATTTGTCTAAAATCACCGAGAATACCGTTAAAAATCGGACTGATATAGCTTCAATTAAAATAGATAGGCCCTATACATAATGCATCAATGCTTTGCATGACGTCATTATCTTACTGATTTACAATTGTAAAAATAAAATAGGGCCCATAACTGGTATTTTTTAAGTTATTAAAATATGCATCTATGGCCACGAAGCAGTTGTATTCCTTAATCTGTGTTAAAATAAATGTATTTTTTAAATAATCATTAATTAAGCAATCGTCAACCATGATGCTAAAATATTTGTTGCCATTTGAAAAGACGGTCAGTAATTTGGTATGTAAATATTAGCCACTGAATTTGATATATCGAGTAATTTACTTACTAGATTACATTACAACCGAAATAATTAATCTTAATTATTCAGATATCTAGTAATACTATAACATCAATTATTCATTAATAAGGTTATATGGATCACGTGCCGTTAAAGATTGCAGCAATAACTCTAAAATGAAATCAGTGAAAATATGATTTAGTTAGCGAATTTGTAAATCTGGTTAGTCTTGACGTTAGGCGCTAATTTACGTTAGTAAAATTACGTTGACGATTCGGTTAATACCCGGATTTATACTGTGATATTCGTGATATAACTATCAATAAAAAAAAAGGATCTTGTCGTAGTCGGGTGAAAAGCTAAGTAGCTATACCAATAAAAGGCAACATCATTAGTTTAATAAAATATGGAACCATATTTTTTTATTAGTCATTTAATAAAAACAAATCGGTGTTAATTGTATGAATTATGTGTTGTTAAATATAAGAAATACTCACCTTTACGATATAGGTGTTTGATTTAAATGTGAGCATTATTTTGATAATGACGATACCTACGAAATATTATGTTGACAATTTTAAATTTTTTTTGCTGATTTACTGAATTGTTTTTTTTTTCTCCCAAACGCAACCCATTCTATGATCAACAAACCTATTATTCTGTGGAATGTTTTAACGAAAATAATGTTTTTACTACTTAAACAAAAATGCAACCGTTGTTTTAACGAATTAATCTAGAAATAATTATACAATTAAAAACTTTACTTAGTATATTATCTTTATGTTTTCTTCATGTGTTTTCTTTCGCTAAGACTACTTATGTTAACACAAGTTTTGATCGCGTTTATTGTTTCTGTTACCTAACATGTAGCTCTGGTGAAAATTACGGTACCGTAAAATACAAACATTTTGTTGTAAACTATACTAACAGTAAGTCACAGTAATGTTGGTCTTACCTTTGACTGTTATAGTGGCTTTTACTTGGTATTCAAATTCTGTTGGAAAGCAAAACGACCAGATGATACGCTTCTCCTCTTGTATTAGCTGGGGTGTTGCGCGCCTCATTTTAAACATTGTATCTTATGAATTATTCATGTCACTGTAACCACGCCCATAAATCGGCTCTACGAAATTTAAGACAGCGAATGGAAATCCACCGATGGGAATGCTCAGGACTCATTTTCCTTATTCATAAAACGTCATACTGTCGGTGGGGCGTGACGTGAATAGGTTGCCGTGGACTGATTATAACGTCATTAATTGTTTTGGCAACGTATTTTTGGTCAATACCCCTCTATTTTATAGTATTAGTAACATGAACTCCGGGGGTGAAAAGACTTGACAAACGTGGAGGATCAGCAAAATTACATTACAAGTCTGGCCTTGACGCACTAATCAATAGAGTCGTGTCTTTATTTATCCCATTGCAACATAACCAACAACTTGGCTAGGTTAAATACCTGGATTCACATTATACATAATGATATTTATTTCAATACAAAATTAAAGTGTAATGCATGACAGCCAAAAGGCTGAATTGCGACTTGTATTATACTCTAAAATGAGCAGACAATAGAATTATGGAAAAATTACAAAACAACCAAAAAGGAAACAATTAAACAATCATGACAATATTAAGAAAAACATCTCATTATTTGAAAAACAATATTAAAATTACTGTACAATTAATAGGAGAAACACAATAAGAAATATAGGCCTAATTACATTATAAATCACATTGAAAACATAAAAAGGTGAATATTTAAGAATTAATAAAAACATTGAGAATGATTTACAATCGTTTTTTTAAAAGAGGAAAATCAAAATTTGAATAATTACATTTAAATATACATTTAAAAAATTATAAGTTTGCATTGGATCCGAACCGAAATTCGGACCATATTTCCGAAGCCTTAAGCCGGGCATTCATTGCGTCGGACGACGGTCGTACGACCGTAGTACGACGAATCCACCTCTGCTTCCGGCGAGCGATAGACGAGCAACGCTGTCTTCTGATTGTCAGTGGCAGCCTGAACGGATCCTCGTTGAAAAAGCGGTCCGTTGGTTATGCCCCGTCGCGTGCGTTCGTCGTCGCGTTGCAGTCGCACGCAGTGAGTACGGTCTTACACATAGATTCGATATTCTGATCGATTCGATAGGCTTTCCGATCCGAAAATTTGGATTCGGTGCAAATACACCGTTATACTATACTATACTAAGGCCTCCCCTACATCAAAACTCCGTTCGTAGGCCCTATACAAATTGATATATTATAGAGAAGGTATATTGAATAATAAATCCTTCGCCGCATTATTGAATTTATGTATTCTGGTGTGGTGTAATTATCAATATCACAAATTACTTCTAGAAACAATTTTCAAAGATAGGCCTTTTTTCGGCTGACTTTCTTAGGTTCCTTGTGTTTTCCATTTCGTTTATTTTCTTGCACATTCAATTCGCAAAGGCCTAAAGGCCTATTGTTTTTATTTCTTCATTAAAACACAATCGTCATGATTCCATGTTTTTTTTAGACTTTCATCAGGTGGATATCTATTGTATAATGACATGTTTAAGGAATATTGTAAAAAGAGAAAAAATTGAAATATGATATTATGTTAGAACAATTCATTTGTGATATGTGAAATTATGAATTAAGGTGGTGGTTTTACCGAGAAAAAGGGTGCCGTATTGTGACAGGTGGGACAGTCCCATACACTTTTTCTATTGAGTTCACATTATTTATACAAATAATGAGTTTAAGTTTTCAAAAATGGGTTTAAATGATGTTGTTTTATGCATAAAGTGATCCAGATTTCTCATATTTTTGCGTCAAATGGGTCCACATTATTCGAATTTACGCTTAAAATGATGCAACCTGATATTGTCTCGCACTGTTTGAAAATCCTTGCTACGGTGTTGATTGTAACTACTGTACACTTTTCGGACTTCAAATTCGACTACCGTCCGAATTCGCCTTTCCTCACAAATTTAGCAAGGCGAGCGCTGGTAAAATATACAGCACCGTAATGCGAAGAGTTGATCAGTTTGAGTATCCCTGCCCTGTGTAAGCTACGGTACCCCATGATCTTGATGGTTGACTGAGGACATTACTTTTTAGTAAAAAGGCATATATTAGAAATAAGGATATATAGTTTAAAGGGTAGGCATAATGATAATCATAATAAGAATAATAACAATAGTTATAAGAAGAAAAATAATAATACTGTAATAAAAAATAATTTAATAATAGTTGTGATGGTGGTGGTGGTGATGATGTTGAATAAAGTTGAAGATTATGATAATTATCATGAAGATGAATGATGATGACGTTGACAATGATGAAAATGATGATAATAATCTGATCAATGACGATGATAACAAATGATGATAGTAATGATGACGATGACAATTGAAATGATGCTAATAATAAACATAATGATAATAGTAGTATTTATAATAAATAATAATAATAATAATGAATACATAATAATAACAATAACAATAATAATAATAATTTAAAAAATAATAATAATAGGCCTAATAATAATAAGTAATATATGCCTATGTATGTGTATTAAAGTGCGTTGAATTATGAAGGTTGTTTGTAAGTGGGTGGTGTGTCTATTTATCTATTGTTGCCATATAAACTTGAGTTTATTTGCTTATGCTCGGATACAATCAATTGTCGAAATTTCCCGAGGGCCATCAATACTAATCAAAATCTTTAATCCAAATTTCAAAGCCATTACCAATTGCTGTTTATATACAACTAATTAATCTTAATGTTAGTTCTCATTTCTTCATCGGAAGTTATAATAATACGTAAAGTGTTACATTTTCGAATGACATACCTAGTTGATGTATATCTTTTTATCTTTCAATTCCTTTTTTCGAAGCTATCATATTCACACTTTCATATAGGCCTATTGATTTCTCTGACGTTACTTAGCATTTGATTTATTTATTGACTATTAAGAAACCTAATTACTGTCTCCGTCTAAGTAGCCACCCCCTCTCCCATTTCTTTGTCATAAGTTATAATAACTCGTTATTTTTTCGAATGGGGATACCTAGTTGATGTATATCTTTTTATCTTTTTATTCATATTTCGAAGCTATCATATTCACATCTTCCATATATTGTTTCCTCCGAGGTTACTTAGAATTTTATTTATTAATTCACTATTTAGAAACCTAATTACTGTCTCCGTCTAAGTAGCAAGTCCTCAAAAGGTTATGCTCTACAAAATCCACGTTGCGGTAATGAGCTAGGGACACGTAAGAGCATATCTCACTGGTTTAAGGGGCCCTGGATATCATCAGCATTTATTGGCCTCAAATCACCGAGCCGGGCCCTTTAAAGAACAGAACATGTAAAAAGTACAGATACGACCTTAAAACGTTTAAAGTGACGAAGGGAATGGGGCTCAGCCTCGTAACGTACGACTGGCCATACCCGAACCTACCTCAGCTTGGTAAATGGGCTCGAAAAAGCATTAGCCAGGGGAAAAGCATTAACCAGGGTCCTGGACCTCTTTGTTACGTTCGTTAGCAAAAACAACAAAATCACTGACAGGAATGTAGGCCTACCCAAGCGCGTCCTGGACAAGCAGCCTAAGCACGTGGTATACACTGTACAGCTCCACTCATCAACATTCTTTTTCTTATCTTTATTATAGGCCTATATTTTCTTAAATGTATGTTTATGTTCTTGTGATTTCAATCTGTGCTATATTCAACATTGTCTGTTTATGCACCAGTAGCCACATTGCCCATGGGCTGATGGATTGATGAAACGCAATTAGATCGTTTCGGTCATCATATCGCTGCCATATCATGGTTTAACATTTATTTAATTTGCCGATCAATGCTAATAGTTTCTGATTTGCAAATGTAGGCCTATATCCTGCATACCGGTATGCATGGAAAGGTTACAAAAATGGAATCACCGTAAGTTTCTCAGATAGCCTCAGATTCGCTCTTTCTACGTTTTCTATAGGCTCAAAATATAATATATAGGCCCATACTAGATGTGTATAAGAGACAGATAATGAGTTGATAGTGATAAACACTAAACTATCCTGCGGTAATGCTATAATTATATACCGTATACATTTTGAACGTTAAAGAAGAGGAATTTGCGAGTGTGAAAAAATAGGTGCCCCAACCTAAATTATATGCATAGACAGCGGTGGCATTATGGGAAAACTCATTTGTATGTTTGTTCGAAAATGTTTTGTTTCATCATTATATTGACGTTTATTATTGAGTCCAACAGTAATCATTCCTCTGTATCGTACAGTACTTCAGTTACTTATCACAAAAAATACCGGTTGCGTTATTTTAGTTCAGCTTTCAATTCTCAATTTCATAGTATCAACAATAGCATCTGTTAACTGTTTTAGATGAACTTGTGTCTTTTATTCCCTACGGGTATCTTTTTATGTATGATGTTATTTCAGTATAGATATATTAACTCACTTTACAGTTCTAGTTTTTATGCACCTGTTTCTTTGTATTTTAATTGTAGAAGTTTACGGTCCTCGCACGTGTTTGATCTTATGCCGGAAGTATTTGTCAACGTAGTTTTATTACCAGATTGCCATCTCCTTAAAACCTTCTTGTAATATTTATATATTTTTAATAGTTTTTGGAATTTCTGATCTTTATCCTTAGGTGGTAATTATAATAATAATAATAATAATAATAATAATAATAATAATAATAATAATAATAATAATAATAATAATAATAATAATAATAATAATAACAATAATAATAATAGCACTAGTTCACGCAAGCACGTGAAACAGAGATCAATATAACACGCCATCTTCTTACGTATATTGAACGACAAGACAGGATACTTAACATTTCTTCAGCAAAGTTTAATAAAGTTTAAGCATCAAAACAAACAGAACAATGAAAAGCCATCAGTCTGGTGCAACGTCTGTCTGTATCTCCTATTTTTATCTTCAGCATCATTAATTAGGTATCAAAATGTAACTAGAATTGAGATATAATTATAAACTACTACGGTATCTTACATCATTATTCTGTAATACCATTAATGATCTCAGAT